GGTATTTATTAAGTCTTTATCTTTGCTTGTATAAACATTAATTGTTCCCCTTTCTATCACTATAGATTAAGAAAATATATTCAACCAATTTGTTGTTTTTTGCAATTTATAAGGTCATCGTCAAGTACAAAACTTTTCCACACTTTTTTACGATTAGCACATCGCGGCAATATGGTTTCCCAGTACTTCAAATAATATTAATATATATCACGCTGCAATGAAAATGTTGGTTGAAAATGTTGATGTTATTGTTATCATTCTGTTCAAAACAACGAATTTTAAAAATAATAATTAATGAACTCAAGAACTTATCTAATACCATACTTCAGAGTCTTATCACCAAAAACAGAAGGCCACAATATCACATTTTAAAACTTGGAAAGTTTTCGCCTGCGAAATTATTTTTAATAATAGTACTTTTAAACATAAGTGTAACCTCGGAATCTTAGCCACTGCACCTTAGTTGGAATCCGACAGAATGTTTAAATGATGCATTTTTTTTTTCTAATGAATACACAAAATTTTAAAATGAATTTGATTTTAAGCAAAATTATTATAGATTGATCCATATAGTAACCCAACTGAACTTAAACATTGCCACGCTTTTCCTGTATGATAAAAAATTCCGCAATTAACAGAAAGATTCGGTATCTTAGCAAACGGTTATCAAATTTGAAGTTGAAAATGAATCATTCCATTTTTGTGTGTACTGATGTAATAGTCCAGTCACTTTAGCATAAAAAAGGCATCAACCTCGGAATGAGGGATAATAAGCTGAATTTTTGTATATACCTTAATTTTGGCGTTCTAAAAGTTGTCTCAAAAGTCTCATAAAATCTCGTGTCTGCGTCGTAAGTTATTCAAGGCCAAAAGTCAAAATTAAGAGTTTTTCGCGATTATCTCGGTTTCTATTGCTCCAATGATGTTAATGTTCATTATAATAATTGTAGAGCATAAAATTTGGAACAAATTTTATTTGAAACATTTTTCGATGCGATCAATCGTTTCTGAGATAGAGGGCGGTGAGAGCGAAGCGCTCATCCATACGTAGTGTAATGCAAGATAAAAAAAAATCGTAAGAAATGTACAGCTGCTGAATAAAGATAAAATTAAAATATATTCACTCGTTTTACTTTCTTAAAATTTACTTTGAATAAATTAATATAACTTTAAGATATATAATAGTATAACAAGTATAATATATTATCTAATATATCTACTAAACTTACACGTTTTAAAGATAAAGTACTTAATTATTTTTCTACTTAAAATCTACTTTCAATAAATTAAGATATACAATAAGTGTTTCATTTAAAGAGTTTTTAATTACACAAAGTAGATAAGTATTATTAAATGAATATATTGAAAATATGTAAAATGTTGTTAAATACAATGTATTAATTGATAAATAATACAAATTATTCAAAATTCAAGCTATTAACAGATATTCACGGTTGATCTTGCATTACACTACGTACCTATATGTATGAGCGCTGCGCTCACACCGCCCTATTATCTCAAAAACGATTGAGCGCAACAAAAAATATTTCAAATAAAATTTGTCCCAAATTTTCTGCTCTATAATTATGGTAATAAATGTTAACTTCATTGGAGCAATAGAAACCGAGATAATTGCGAAAAACTGTTTCTTTTGACATTTGACCTGGAATAACTCATGACGCAGACACGAGATTTTATGAGACTTTTGAGACAACTTTTAAAACGCCAAAATGAAGGTATATACGAAAATTCAGCTTATTATCTCTCATTCCGAGGTTGATCGCTAATTTGACTGGACTATTTGAAAGATATTTCGAATGAGTTTAGGCTGCTATTAGAATCTATGCCAACTTGGCGCACTTACATTTTCGAGAGAGGGAAATAAGAAACGCTAAAGCTATTTAGCTACATTCTAAACTTGAGACATGGCTCTCAAAAATTTTTATTGGAATCTTTTTAAATGCATTTAAAAATCTGATAAGGTTTTATTTTAAGAGTGTCACAGAGCAACAAAGTAGCACTTGAATAAATTTCGATACTCCAAAATACCAAATTAGAAAATAATCTAAATTTTATCAAATAACGCTAGAAGTCCGCCTACATTTTTATTACATGAAAATACAATTTTGATACCAATTCGGACTTTAGCCAATGCAGTATCACGTATTTCATTCATCAGGTGTACACTGTGTGGTGGCTTTTGCAGTTTGTACCTTGTCCACAGAATTTCCTTTTTAGATCGAGGCAAGTTTTTGTAAATGATACGTAGTATAATCATATTTTTATTTCAAAAAACATGGATAACAATACAGAGTTTTCTACAAATGTGTTTAAACACAGCAGTAAAAACGTTATAATAATAATCAATCGATAATACTGTTGCATTGAACGGGTGATTAAAAATCGGCGTGGGTTAAACTCAACTATATATTTCTTAATAACTCGAATCACACGACTGATTATTACACAGCGATTATGTACTTGACTGTACTCTCGTGGACTCGATTGACTGAATTATCCTCGTTCCCGACGGTGGCCTCTATTTAAACCTATACGTTTCTCTTGATGGACCGAGAACGCCGCTTCGAAGGTTTTCTGGGCCCGTCGCGACATCCGCTTTCAGGCTTTCCTTTAGCGAACGCCGCGCCGTCCGGCCGATGAGTCATCCTACATACTACAAGAAACAGATACATACTACAGATACATACTGGAAGACCCACCGTCGTACCGGGGCGGCGTATGGGTTTATTTCGTAACAATACCTTCAACAGAGTACCATGGAAAAACTAGCACCTGTTAAAATAAAGCGCTTATGACGTATGTTTGTGGATATCAGGAAGATCTTAAATTATTTAATCTTTATCAATCTCCATCTTAAAACAAAATTAAACTTAGTTCTTGAGACATACTAAAGAGATAAAATACTGATATACAACATTTTTAGCAACTATACAGCGACATAAAAATACAAATTTAGTTTGAAATTCTTATCACAAATTTTTCTAAAAAGAAATTAACTAATGTCTGAAGATATATCAAACAATTGTGTGAAAATTTAAATGAATAAATAAAATAACCTTTATCACGGCCACAGCAATTGATTAGTAAGTAGCTCGCCACACTTACGATTTTAATCTCTACGTCAAATAGTATGCAGGTGTTATTTTGATCGTATCTACTCACTAATTACGGATAGTTTAAAAATTGTCGAGCACCGTCTAAACTAATGCTCAATAATATCTTTTGACCTTCTCTCTCCAGACCGACACTAAAATCTTAGAAGACCGTGAACAAGTGGTTTTGCAAATTCTTGACACGATTCTAACAAATGATTTGGAAAACTTTTAACAATAAGGTGACAACTAAAGCGAGGTATATTTTATTTTATAATTTTTAGTGTATAATTTTCATGCTTCAATTCACATTACAATACATGTAATAAGTTTGCAAATGACAAAAATAGATGTGTAAAAATGTATTACCTGATAAAAGATACTTTTTTTCTTTCTAACTATTACACATATCATCCCAACTTGGAAACTGATATGCTGTTATTTTGTGGAAATTAGGAAATATGTCACATTTTTTGAAATACATAATTTAAAAAATTAAAGCCACTAACACAAAAACAATGATCCCTTAAAAAGTCTAAAATTGGTTAAGATTCGCTGTGACGGTCGACGCGTCATTATGGGCTGATGATTTTGAAATGGCTGAAGTAATTATCATCAAACATAGCTATGGACCACTCGATTAAACCAGTTTTCAATTAAATAAAAAACTCAAAAACGATTACCTACTAACAAAAATAAGATGGAGAAATTAGATGAGACATATCCCAACCATATTTTTCAAAAAACAATTAATATTTTCTTACACGTTATCAATTTTTGGTGGAAATAAAATATTAACTAATTATAAAGTTGCTCACAACTGCAGGCGACTTAAAATAAAATTAACTGAGAAAACTGATGAAACACCTTGGTTTCTGTATAACATTTTTTTACCAATAACCATTCTGAATTTCGAGAGATATTCTTCAGTATAAATTTATTTAATACTTTTTAGATGGGATCACCAACTTGGAGGAGATGAATAAATAAATTCTAGTTAATTTTCTATAATCCCTAAATCAATGTTTTACCGAAGTTTCGAAGAAATTCTCTACGTAATCTCTGGGATAAAGTATACAATTTTATGGTTGAGACAGTTTTTTTAATACTATCCGTGCTGGTGAAATTATAAATAGGGGTGGATTATTAAACTTCTGTTACGATAGCATGTCACGTATCCATTTCGAGTAAAATTTATTTAACAATATTCTGATACCAGTTTTCCTTTAGAAATGAACAACACACAAATTGTAGTAAACGTCCTACAGTTTTCACACTAATTTCAGAGTGCGTTTAAAAATTCAAAATAAACCGCTTCATTAGGTCTAAATATTTTCTGCCAAATAAAATCGTCAAGAAGCATTTAATTATTCCACAAAGTATTAATTTGCAAGGTTTTAGCTGTGTTGTCACATGGTTGACCTTTTTTTGGATTCCACTAGTGATTTAGTGTAGAATTTACAAAATGACCAAAATTTTTATATTTTTCTAGCTTTAAAACTGTTGCAACTTGATGACGGAAAAAACATTCTTTAAATCTAATACGAAATAGGAACGACCCATTTCGCAATTTACAGAATCCAAGGTTCTGACTTAGATCATCATAATTTTCCCGTTTCAAGTATAAACTTGAATGCCATCTAACTCAAGTGGGGTAATAGAGCAGCGTGTGGCATGTGAACAAGTCATGACCACTTGAGGACTTTCGTTAATTGTCTATCACAAGTACCCACTTGAAACTTGTCAAATCTTTTTTCTATTAACTTTTTACCTGCCGATTGGAAACAATTAAAAATAATCCCATTGTCATCTATAATTTACATTTATCCAAGGAATATATAAAGCATACAATCGGTAGGTAGAGGTAGTTCAATCGCAGTCATCAAAATGTTTGCTTTACTATTGTTGTGTGCTTTCGTATCAGCCAGCCATGGTGCCCGAATCCTTGGTGTGTTCATGACTCCAAGCTATAGTCATCAAGTAGTGTTTCAACCCATCTGGAAGGAGTTATCGTTGCGAGGTCATCAAGTAACTGTTTTGACACCAAACCCTTTGAACGACCCAACTCTAACGAATCTCACCGAAATAGATTTGAGTTTTTGTTACAAAGCATGGGACAACTACAGTATAGCAACTCTTGGAGCCAAAGAACATTCCTCGTCTGAAGAAATCAAGAAATTGTCAGAAGCGTATCTTGCGGTTTCGGAAGTTCAGTTAAGTCATCCTGAAGTTCAAGACTTACTTAAGAATAACTCAAAGTACGAATTTGATCTAATTCTGGTAGAATTCCTGTGGCCGGTAATGTATGGATTCAAAGATATATTTAAATGCCCGATGGTAGGAATCGCATCACTACCACTAACAGGCACGGCAAATGAAGCTATAGGAAATCCGAATAATCCAGCACTAGAGCCTGAATTTACACTACCATTTTCCACGAATCTATCTTTCAAAGAAAGAGTGATCAGTACGATTTTCAAAGTGCTGTTTAAAGTCGGTGCAAAAGTTAGTCTGCGCCCGAAAATGGAAAAAATATCGCAAAAACACTTTGGAAACATTCGAAGATTGGAAGTAATAGCTCAAGATGTGAGTCTAGTGTTGGTTAATTCCAATTTGGCTCTTCAAAATGTTAAACCGTTGGTTCCTGCCCATGTTGAATTGTCAGGGATCCACATTAAAGAACCTAAACCCTTGCCTAAAGATCTGAAAACATTTATGGATGACGCTAAAGAAGGTGTGATTTTCTTCAGCCTTGGCTCCAATATTAAAAGCGAACTTCTACCCGAAGAACAAGTTAATAAATTCATGAACGTTTTCTCGCAGCTGCCATATAAGGTTCTGTGGAAATTCGAAAACGAAAATTTGCCGAATAAACCTAACAACGTTGAAATTAAAAAATGGTTGCCTCAACAAGATCTGCTACGTAAGTTTTAATTTTTTTTTTAATTTGAATTAGCGTTACTATCACTCTTTTAATTACAGATCACCCTAACATGAAACTTTTCATTACACAAGGCGGTCTCCAATCCCTTGATGAAGCAATTCGTTCAGAAGTACCGATCCTCACGATACCATTCTTTGCAGATCAAAGATACAACAGCCATCATTTAGCGCAAAGTGGAGGATCCCTCTCAATTGATTTCCATTCATTCACGGAAGAAGAATTCAAAGAGAAAATCGTCGAACTCATCAGTAATCCAACGTAAGTAAAAACGTTTTAAAATAATATCATCCCAAACTAACTATGATGAATTTTTTAAAGGTACAAGAAGCAAATTACAAAACTGTCAAAAATAGCGAGCGATCAACCTATGCCGGCTTTGGAAAAAGCAGTCTGGTGGATTGAATACGTTATAAGGCACGATGGTGCTGAACATTTAAAATATCCCGGAGTCGATATGCCGTTCTATCAGTATTTTCTCCTCGATGTAATTGCATTTATGGCTGGTACAGTCGGTTTGATGTTCTACATACTCAGAAGAATTTTCAAACACGTTGTCGTAACATACAAAGTGTTCAGTAAACTGGTTGGGCCACTCAGCAATTCCATCCGACCGGAAAAAAGTCATGCAGAATAGGTTAGGTTATTTTTTCTGTTAATCTCATATTTATTGTCAAACCTCATAGGTTAGTTAATATTTTGTATCAAAATAAACTACTGCAGTTTTCTTGTAAGTATTATATGTTTTAAACAAATTCCTGTATCGGTGAATTTTCGTCCCATACTCTTTAAAAGATAAAAGAATTCTGTGGATATGATTTATCGAATGAAGACCCTTGAAATACATAGATAAAGCTATCTGGTGGATAGAACAAGTTATAAAGTATAAAGGAGCAAGCCACTTGAAGATCCAGCCTGCGGATATGCTATTTTACGGATAGTCCCGACTGAGACGATTTTATTTTTGTCCATTTTTACAACAATCAGATTTTATTATTGCGAGCAATATTTCAGAGCGAGCAATAATGGTGTAGCGTCTGAAATAAAGTGAAAGTTTGTGTAAGCGTTGCGTTACACAACTCGCCCGTGTGCGTGTTTCTATAATAACTAAATGAGAAAAGTTGAAATAATTTTCGGTTGTTAAAGGATACAAGAAAAGTCCCGTCGAACGGAAAGGTCGTGCAAAAGAAATTTCGTTGCTACAGACCAGTATTGATCCTCCATTTGTTTTAAGTAGAAAGTAATTTGAGCTTCCGTTAGTTGTATTCATACGAGCTTATACTCCATCAAAGTTTCGAAAGAAAATATACCGAACATCGGGAAATTTATAGCATTCAGGTACTCTTCAGCGGCAGGTAACGACAGAAATTCTACAGATTCACCCTTGCTTTTGGGTTAATCAAGAGCAAAGTTCCCCTTGTTTAGGAGAAATATCGTTTTACAAAACTGTGCTGCACGATCTTATCCCCGACTAAAACAATAACAAATTAAGGGAAGCAGCACATGCTAATAAGATTGGAGGCGAACAATTAGGACTGTCATATTTAATCAAGTTCGTGGAGCGTTCTCTTTTATAAATATCTGCTAATTTGCACGAAATGTCAAATTTCCTTCGACCTTGCCTCGTCGAGTAAAATAAAAGCGAGAAATCGTGCGAAAAATAAACGCCAAGTGCTTTTGACTGGCTATACGTAGGTCTGGCAAAAATGTAAATGTCCCATGTATGGTTGTCAAGCTGTGATTTGCGATGAAGCTCGTATTTCTAACCGTGTTAAGACAACGTTGGGGGTTTCACAAGGACCCGGATATAAATCTAAAGGGGTGGTGGCTCGACAATGCGGGAAGAGAATTGATTTCGAGTGAGATCGGAATGCTTAGATGCGATCTGATATATCGCTTCACCCATATCGCAGACATTTACAACAACTCGCCCTCATATTGTCGGATTCATTATTAAACATGAGAAATGCTTATTGGAGTTTCAAGTGGAACACTTTAATTTCTATTGCCCTATAAAAACGGGATCTAACCGACTCGGAAATGGAGTGATTTAAAGGAATGCGTAGACATCAAATTTTTCGAATACGACGCGGCTTTCAATAAATTTAAGAATGAACGTCATGTTTACGTAATTTTTTTCAGTCTGATGGTAGAGATGTCAGCGTGGCTTAGGTCGATTCGGGCACTTTCAATTGATTGAATGGTTTGGCAAGCGGTAGTCCGCGATTTCTATTGAGAGGGTCTTTGATTTATTTTCTTATCCATATTCAGTAGATATGCGTCCTAGCGCCAACATTCCGTGTTGATGTCGAGGCAAACCTAAGACTTTTTTGAAACGAAATCCTTTGCATGCGTCCTTTAAGTCAATCCCATTTATTCTGATGTGGCCCGGGTTATCGTCAACAATTCCCCGTTTACACCTTTCGAAGATTTTTCTAATCATACGTAGACTATCCCACACAGTCGAATGGACCGAAAGAGCTTAAGAAAATTAACTCTCACTGTTTTTCCAGACTTATTCGGACTATTCGCTCGAAAGTTACAGTTTAAAAAATTTTGTCAATCAAAAAGTCGTGCTAACTAATTTATTGACCATAATCACAACACAATTAAAAAAAGAACTCAAGTTATTTATTAAAACTATTCCTAATTTTTTAATAAAGACATTATTATATTGCATTTTCAACTGAGATCAACACTTCGTGTACTTCTGTCGCTGCGTTAATATCAAACAGGAAACAGAAAGACGTTAACCCTTCACATAAATATATAAAAACAAAAATGGATTTTTAACTCCACCTCAGATTCATAAATATAAACAGTCTATTCATGTAATAGTATGCCAAAAAAACTCATGCCGACCACGCTACTGCTGTTATCGGAGTAAAAAATAGATTTTGTATTATTTTACAGTTTTTTTTTACAAACACGGTAAAATATTATACAGCAAAAGAACCCGCTTTAATATAAACACCAGTAAACCAAATTTAAAAACCGCAACACCGCTGTCGGCAACACAACACAGCTGATTATTAAAAAACTTTCTCTAGTGGTTCAAGAATTCAAAACATTTTTATTTTCTGTCCACCACTATAGTCAAGTCGTCATGACAAAAATTAAAATTAAAGTTTTATCTCAAATTAAAAACACGTCTCTCCTATATGGTTTGCTTCCAAAATCTAGTTAAACGGATATATTCTTAAAATTTGGTGTACAACACATCCAACACCTTAGACTTTTTCTAAAAAATTTCTTAAGGCAAAAGTTAAAAAGGCAAACACCATGCCAGTAACATAAAGGAAAAGCTATTCAGAAACACTGAGGAGGTATTTTGGAAAGCAAATGTCTTAATTAAGCAAATACGCAAAAAATTAATGAAATTTGTCTACATATTAAACTATTTTCTCAACAAATTTACATATAAAATAATGGATCAGATTTTCGGCTAGAATATCCGCTGGCTGGCATACAGCTCCTGTGTTGTTATTTATCCTCAAACAAACCCGTTTAACACTGACCCCAGCAAACAATATCCTGTTTAGTTTTATGAAAAAACAACTTAAAAAAAATTAAACCGGTGATTAAACCGACTTATAAAACTTTAATCAAATTAAATTAAAATTAAATTCACGTTTTAAGGGATTGAGCATAGAAAATTCTTTCCTCATCCTGCAATAGTAAAAAAATGAGTTACGTATTTTTCTTATAAAATTTAGCCTACTTCCAGGCGGTGTCGTTGTTTGAGACTTTTTGACAAACGTCAGAAATAACCACTTGGTTTTATTTAAATCAGTCAGTCGTATTTAAGTTCAACAAACGAACGAGTGTAATTTGCATTAATTTTCCACTATGGATTCCAACTTAAAATTATAATTAATTAAAAAAAGGCAAAAATCTACATTTTCTCTTAATTAACTTCCTAAAAGTCCAAAGACAATGTTGGCAAATATTGCTTTTCTGTTGCTTTTCCACGCGGAAATAACAGTTCTAATTTTCACTACATGTTACTAGTGCAACAATTGTCACTGCACATATTAAAAAGTAACTTTTGCCGCTTGGTTAACAATTGTTTATTACTTTTTTCATATACCTGTGAGCTGGTGCGGACTTCAATTTCAAGTCCAGTCCAACTGCTAGTCCGGCTGCTGTAATTGGCCTCCATATAACTGATAATGTCGACTAGATAAAGAATCCTCGAAGACTGTTCTTTTATTAAAGATCCATCGATACTGAACTTTACCTCGAAAATACAAGTAGCAATCTCGCAAAGATTTAAACTAGACGATCAGGTTAACTTTTATTGTGGATGCTGTCAAATGTCAATTCAAACGTACATAACCCCGTTTATACAGTAATTTTCTTTGATTTAAATTTAAACTACTTTTTGATGCAGTTGCATCACTTTATAATCAAACTGTCGTATCAGTCTGCCACGTATCGAAAAGTCTAAAATTACAGCAAATTATCTACATGATTCAACAGGTAGTAAATCCTTCAAGAGCAGCCTTGATGTAAGAAAGACAGTGACGAATTTAACGTCACTTGCATCCGTAGTTCTTTTCATTCACGTTGAGCAATAATTATTAAATGAATTTAACCTGAAACAGCTTTGGTTTGAGTAAGAAAAAAATTCAAGCACGATTTAACATGTTTATTTTCACATTACTTTTTTAAATTCAGTGTACAAACACATAACCAAACCATAAAAGACTCTGAAGATATTCCTTTTGAGATAAAAGACGCTGTTAAGAGGAGCAGTATTTATTTACGCACCTCCCACGTCACTTAATACGAAAAATGGTAACTTTCATACACGGAAGCATTCCACGCCCACACAATGTACTATTTTTGAGAAAAGACAAATTTCATTGCATTCACTCATAAACGATAAATTAATACAAAAAAATAACCAAAGAAAGTTTATCGAAACTGAGTGAAATTTCATGCCGACAATAGTGCACGAAAAGATATTTGCATAATAAATTTATAAATTAATGAGTTTTAAACAAAATGTCTATGTTCTGCTTCCCCTGGGATTATTTTTTAAGAAGGAAGTTATGTTTATTAGACAACCTCATCTTAATGGATCTGATTTACTGCTCCCTTGTTACGTATTCTCCTTCAGTGTAAAAAATTAAAAAAGCCATTATTTCTAAACAAGGTTTCCATATACAGTTTTACTTTACATTTTTATTATGTCAGCTCTACATTACAAAATAAATCGCTTACAATAGAAGTATGGGTGTTCCAATTAATGCAATTTTTAGATTCTGACTCAAATACTTAATAGCTGAAATTCGTCCACTATAAAGAGCTCTATGAATGAAGTAAATTTAATTTAACAGGAAATTACATATAATTCGTTTTTATTTAACTTTATTTAGTAAAAATTACGTACATATATATACGTATTTTACCAAAGTATACACACAAATCGATAATAAAATAACAAAATTGAAGTAAATTATTGATTTTCACTTTGGAAATAGTCTTCATTGTAATATATGCTCCTTAAAAGCGCTGCTACATTTATCATTATAAAGCCGACCTGAGTTTTTCTCGTAGCTTTTATAATTCAGCTCATTTTGTTCGGAATAACTTTGAGTTTGTCTTAAGTTACTAGAACATGAAAAATACCTCTCGAAGAAAATATAAATCTCACTGACAAAAACATTGTTAAAGATATCAACGTCCCACATGCTAACCAACCAGTAATTACAACCCAGCAATACCAAAAATGCTTTATAAGAGTTTGATATGACTTAATTTATTTTGAATTTAGATCAAATGTGCCCACAATTTTGGTTTAATTTTGTATATTCTAGTACCTTCCATATGGTCCATCAACTAAGTATCTCGTATTATCGTTTGAATCTCTAGGGTTAAAAGTATTGTCTTATGAATATAAAACCAGTAAATTTACAAACTAGTAATATTTCAGGCCACAATAGTTAAACGTGTGACACACAGAGCCTTCAATATTGAAAACGACAAGTGGTAATCGTCTCCAAATTCGTACATGATTATCATAGCGCCACTAGTTGATTTCATTTACATTTAAACTCTGCTGTTTCTTCTTTAAGGGACGAAATGTAAATTATTTAATCTTAAACAGAGATAATTTGTATGATTATTACGCAAGCCTTTGGGAGTATTTTTATTTCCAGGAACGTTAAATGAAATTACTTTTATAATTATTATCAGAGTCTGGGTGGCCAAATTAGAGTTATCTCGTTGGATAATAGGAATAATAATTATACACGACCTTTTATTACCTCTGTGTAGAGATGTCATTTTTAGTCGTCCTTGTGGCAACCTGCGGTCTTAATTTTCTCTGTTAAAATAAATCTATTCCTCCAACATGGCAAATTAGTTAATACAGTTATTTCGGCAATTTATTAAAAGAAACTCATCAGAATAAATATATATTCGTTAATTTAACTTGTCCAAAAGTGAATTTAACTAAGTAATGGTT